TTTCAGACCGATGAGCTTTGTAAAAATCGACGCGTTTCAGAAAGGCGGGGCATAGAGGAGAAACAATAATGTACAGTATGTGGAAAATAATGTGTTTTTTTAACCTTAAACCGCATAAACACATTTCATTACACCAAATACACCAAATAATGTTCTTTTTAGCAACATCATATGACCCCTTTAAAAAATAAAAATTAGAAGCATTCTTCTAATGCACTGTATACCACTACCACCAATAACAATAACAACAATAATAATTATTGTTATTGAAGAGCCTTTCCCAGCAAATTGAAAGTGAAAGTGACGTGACATGTGGCCAAGTATGGTGACCCATACTAGGAATTAGTGCTCTGCATTTAACCCATCCAAAGTGCACACACACAGCAGTGAACACACACACACCGTGAACACACACCCGGAGCAGTGGGCAGCCATTTATGCTGCGGCGCCCGGGGAGCAGTTGGGGGTTCGGTGCCTTGCTCAAGGGCACCTCAGTTGTGGTATTGAAGGTGGGAGAGAGCGCTGTACATTCACTCCCCTCACCTACAATCCCTGCCGGTACGAGACTCGAACCCGCAAACTTTGGGTTACGAGTTCGACTCTCTAACCATTAGGCCACGACTTGATATGTGATTATTTGCTGTGCATATGATTAATTTATGGCCTTACTGTGTAATTAATTTAGTTGTGTTTTATAATTGATTGACAGTACTTTTTCACAACTTTGAACCAGTTACTGAGAACATTGTGTTCTTAAATAAGGAAATTAATAGTAGGTCACTGTTAGGGGGAATGTCCCTATATGATTAGCTTTTATAGAAAGGGGCTAAATGACTAATACCTAGCTACGAGAAAGTAGGTGTTTTAAAGTGAAATGTTTTGCACCGTGTTTCTTGGTTACCCTGCAGTCATGGGGAAGAGGTGTTATCTAGTAAGTTTGCGTGCCTAAAAAAAACCAAACTTTTCTGAGTATAGTTCACATCTGCTCTTGTATCTGTTTCGCAGGAAGTCTACCTTTGATATGTTCAACTTCCTGGCGTCACAGCACAGACAGCTTCCTGACACCGACCTGTATGATGAGGAAGAGGATGAGGTTCTTCTCAAATCCACCAGGTCAAATAAGAGTTTGAATTTTACTGAAGCTTTGTTTTTCTCATATGACGCACATAAGAGTTCGGAGAAAAACATGATGGGAGTTTCACAGTCAAATCTCAGTATTGTTTCATTATTAAAACACTAAGTGCATAGTGTTTTTAATGTTGAATTTATTTGTTTTTAATTTTATTTTAATAATCGTTTTTAAAAAGTATTTTAATAGGAGACATTATGAGAAATACTCAAGGTAATATTTTTGCTGAAGAAAAAAAAACCGGTAGATACTTGGTTTTAGTGACATTTTAAGTTTTTTTTTTTTTTGTCATGACAGTGTGCTCTTCATATGCCTTTCCCTTTTTAATCTTTCGCTGTTCATATTTCCTCTTTCTTGAATAATTTCCTCAGTATTGCCGTTTTTGATGATTAGTCATCTGTGGTTTGGTTCACATGACGAATAAACTCAATTGTATTTTACAGGCGCGCAACAAGTTTGGAGCTTCCGATGGCGATGCGCTTTAGACATCTAGAGAAGACATCCAAGGAAGCGGTTGGTGTCTACAGGTAGGTTGACTGTTTTTAACCTCCAAATAAGGAACTGAGTCGGTTTCAGTTCTGTCCTTAGCTCCCACATTTGAGCAACCTCAGTAGAAAAGATGAGTATGACTTTATTTTTTGCAGAAGTCAAAATTCCATTATGAGACTATATAATAAGATGAGATGAAGTCACCAGTCCCATGAAAGAAATGTGCACCTATTGTTTCCAAGTGTTGTTTCCACCAAGCCCCGGTGCCATTGGAATACATAAAGATTCTGTTCTTTTTTTTTAGGGAAGCATCCCTTAAGATCTGCTAAGAATATTTATCTTTCTTTTTAGCCCTGCAATGTCTTAGACACAGAGCGTCTGAAGCCTGAAGCTCACATAGGGTGTCTGTGAATGTGTTTTTGCCAGAGAAAATACAATCTTTGGAATCCATTCCGCGACCCCTTTCCAGTTTCATCTCTTTAGCTCTGTTCTAATTAAAAACAGGTCATGTTCATTCCTGTAATTCATTCTTGTTGTAGATCTGCGATTCATGGAAGAGGCCTTTTCTGCAAGCGAAACATCGAAGCAGGAGAGATGGTCATTGAGTATTCAGGCATTGTCATTCGTTCTGTTCTTACAGACAAGCGTGAGAAGTATTATGATGGCAAGGTGAGTGGAAATATGCTTTTTTTATTTATTTGTGATCTCTCAGCCAATTACCACCAGGTTTAACAACAGAAATGCATTTTAGGTAGTCATGGCCCTCTGTTTTTACCGTTTTTCCTTGTTGTAGTTAGTATTATTTAATATTTATTTAGTTTAAATATTAATATAATTTAATACTAAGACACCATCCCCAACATTAAAAGAAAAATAAGAACTGCCTAGAAACATTTATTACTTTTATTTTAGTGCAAAAAAAGTCTCTAATGCTCCATTTATATGATCAAAAATGGAGCAAAATACAGTAATATTGTGAAATTGTATTACAGCTTACAATAATTGTTGCTATTTCAGTATATTTTAAAATATACTTTGTTCCTGGGATGCAAAGTTGAATTTTCAGCATCATTACCCCCAGTCTTCAGTGTCACATGATCCTTCAGATATTCTGATATATACTGATTTGGCGCTGAAGATATATTCACTATTATTATCAGTGTTGAAAACACTTGTTCTGCTTAATATTATTGTGATAACTGTGATACATTTTTTATTCAGGATTGTTTTTATTTGAAAGATAAATCATTTGTAACGCTATAAATGTCTTTACTGGAACATTTGATCGATTTAATAGATCCTTGCTGAATATAAGTATTCATTTCTTTAAAAAAAATCCCTCTTTCTCTCTCTCTGTATATATAATATACGCTAGATTTGGGTCAGAGTTTGAATATCACTTATACCACTTCTTTCTTCCAGGGCATTGGATGCTATATGTTCCGCATCGATGACTTTGATGTGGTAGACGCCACGATGCATGGTAACGCGGCGCGGTTCATCAACCACTCCTGTGAGCCAAACTGCTACTCTCGAGTCATCAATGTAGAAGGTCAGAAGCACATAGTTATTTTCGCCTTGCGGAAGATCTACCGTGGAGAGGAGCTGACCTATGACTACAAGTTCCCCATAGAAGATGCCAGCAACAAGCTCGGCTGCAACTGTGGCGCTAAGCGCTGTCGGCGCTTCTTAAACTGAAAAGGAGCTTGGAGAAGTTGCAGTGCAACTGCACGACAGTGGAGTTAGACGGGTAAAAACGGTAGATTGAGGCTTGACGGGTAAAGGGGGTCCAAGCTGAAGGTTTCAAAGCTTAACACAGTCACCACTTCAATTTCAAAGTCCTTCAACAGGCACATACAAGGACCACCATTTTTTTAAACAGCTGTTGTGGAGCCGTTCTTTCAACCTTGATTCCTCGATGAGTCTACATTCAGTTCAGTAGAGCAGATGGGATGGGCGCATGAGTGGTGTGTGGTAACACGGCCAAGGCCTTTTCAAGAACATTTCCCACCATGCTGCCTCCTCTGTGCTTCATTAAAAGCTTTATCGGAATATTAGCGGTTTTGAAATGAGTTTCCGTCAAAGCAGCAGTTTTAAACCAGTTCATAAGCAGCAAAGTACGAGGAAAAAAAGCGGCACGAATATTGAACTAAAGGCAGAGACGTGGTATATTTTGCAGCAAAATTGTGACTACTTTTAAATTATTCCCGCAGGTTTTTATGCTTTCCAAAACCTGGGATGCGCTGCCAAGAGTTCGGGGTGTTCTGTTCCCATAAATGACCTTTAAATTCCAAACAACCTCCCACGAGCCAACCTTAAAGTGCTGGATTTTCACGATATGAACAGAATCGCCTCTGTGCTTGAGAAGCATTTTATAGTGCGGACCACATAGTGTGCGAAAGCGTAGCGGCAGCGAAGATACTCTGTAAAAACATGCATATTACTAATGAAATGAACGTATTCAGATCTGTATCTTATCGATTTTAGTTTAGACCACACTTTCATGTTTAGCTGAGAAAGACTCACACTGCTCAGGACAACACTGTAAACCCCTCAGTGTGACCCATGGATCCACTCCTTGCACATGGACTCGCTCTGTTGCGTTTCACTCTCATCTGTGACAGTTTTTCACTTGAAAACCCTTTTAATCTTCTCAAAGGCTTTATTTTTAACAATTAATTTATTTTTGTTGCATTTTTAAAGGTAGGTCTAACTCTTCATTCTGTTTTGCGGGCTTGTTCTGTGGTGTGAGTGTATAAGCGTTTTTAAAAACTTGATGACCTCCGTGGTGCTAAGCCTAACATGAGTCCTAAAGGGGGTAAAAACAATACTGTTTCATGAGAACCGATGTGAGCTGCAGTTGCTGCAACCGGTACTAAAATAGCAAAGCAACCCAGACACGCTTTCCAACAACGAGCCCATAAATGTCAGTGGTGTTTTGAAACCCCATTCCCGGTACTCAAAACGGCAACGTTTTAGCATGTTTGTGATTTTTATACCTCTTGTCGAAAACAAAATCATGCCTGGACAGTGGATATTTGAGTTTCTATTCGTCATGTAGTAGAGGGACACTACTTAAGCTAATCGTGACTAAATGCATCCTCGTTGTGGATTGTTCCTGCAATAAATCATTTTCTGCCACAATTGCACATACAATTGGAGCTCTACATTTATCTAGGGAGTTAGAAACTGCTTAAAGTGTCCTAGAAGACATAGGACCGTGAAGACGATGTATACAAGATCTATATATATATTTATAGAAGAGTTATTGAAACAGTTTTTCAGTAGACGTTGGTACTCGGCACCTTAATTTTCCTTGAAAGATTTGGGAGTTGGTTCTCTTCTTCATGCAGGAAAATAATCAACAAGCTGATGCCATCGTTCATCTAAGATCGTACGGACTGTAAGAGCGTTCTTTTTATTCCTGTTTGTCTTTATGGGAGTTTTTACCCATAGGTCTGTGCGTTTTTGTATGTGACCAAGGTCTTATCAGAGTTTTCTTCAGGGTTTTTTTTTCTTCTTCGTTCTTTTAAACCGTTTTCCCCCGTTTTCTTTAACTTGAACACTGAGGATGAGTTCTTGCAACGTGGCCTTTTTAAGAGGTGATGTGTTGAGCCGGCTGTTTGTTTTAAATGTCTTAGTTGTCTGATTTTATTTGACTTTCTCAAAGGAGAAGTTTCCTCCCACTAAATCACGTTGGCGTCTCCCACTTTTTCCTTACTCTGTGTGTTTGTGTGGAGGGAGAATCTCCATCCAGAACCTGAAATTTAGCGGATCTCAGATTTTAATCAAACCACCCCAGACTTGCAAGGATTCTACCTCAAGCTGTTCAGACGACATCAAGTAATACTAATGCAAAACTAGATTTGCTTGGTCTGTTCTGTCATGCAGAGTTGGCTCGTGTGCAATGAAGGATGCAAAGCACTAGTCAGGACCTCCTGTGATAATGCGTCTCCCAGAGCTTCCTGGGAAAAGAAATTCTGTCTGTTCCTGTGTAGGCTATTTAAAAAAAACAACGTGTTGAAAAAGACTTCAAATGAAAAAACATGTGTCTTTGCTACCTTGTACAAATGACCCCTAAGTTTGTAAATAGTTGTATACATATTTCTAAACCTGTTCAATTTTTCTATGCACTTTTTTTTTATTTATAGTGTTTTTGCTTAATAAAGATGTACAATGTTTGAACAAAGTTCAAGATTTATTGTGATCTTTGTGGAATTGTGAAATTGTGCACTACTAATAACTAATGATACAACAATGCTTTCAGAAATTGGTTTGCCAATAATTCTAAGTTTCCAAGATTTATGACACTTATAAAAAGATTAGAAGAAAAAGACACTTAATTTTCATGAATTCTAGTAGTTTAACAAAAATCGTGAAATATAAATAGGGTTACACTTTATTTCGATAGTCCACTTTAGACATTCTATTAACTATAAGTAACTTTGTAACTACATGTCAACTAATTCTCATTCATTTGCAACTACATGTCTACTAACTATCAGAGTAGACTGTTAGGGTAGGTTTAGGGTTAGTAGAATAAGTTGACAAAGAAAGTGTTAGAAGATATTAAGCAGACAGTCTACTAATACTCTACTAACTGCTAGTTGACATGTAGTTGCAAAGTTACTTACTGTTAATAGAATGTCTAAAGTGGACTATCGAAATAAAGTGTTACCATAAATAGTGTTATGCAGTGTTACGTTTCATATAAGCTATATAAAACTAAATGTGTAACATACTAGGATGAAATGGAGATGGTGGAACAGTTAGGGAAAACCCCAAAATGTGTCTTGTCTTTGATTCCAAATGCTTCCATATGGACTCAAGACGAACATCTGTTATCCACTGTTAACTGTATGAAGTGTTTTGTTTGCATCCTAGACGGTCAGTCTGAGTACATTATTCAAGCATTGCATGCTTCAACTGTCAACTGAATACTGAACTTACATATAGGGAAAAATACACAATCTCATGAGAAAACCATTTCCAAGTTGCCGATTTTGTATTAATTGTCCACTACGATGAACGAATTTTAGAACAAATACTAAGCATTAACCCTCAGTGAGGCATAAGCAGATCATACAAATTCACGAATTCTTATGAGATTGTGTTCAACAATACAGTATAACAAGTAAATTACTGGTTTGTGTTCTTAAAATATTGCATGAATTATTCTTATACACCTGCAGGAAGCTTCGCCAAAATCTCCACTGCATCGTTACGACCGATAGCGGTTAGCAGCTCAGCGAGGTGGCCGACAGTCCAGTCTGGGTTCTTGGTGACGACACCCTCCAAAACGGCAACAAGCGGGCTTTTGTGGTCCTTCATGGAATAAGCATAATTTATCCAGGCAAAGGAAAAGGAGCACTGGGCAGCAAGGTGACGAGTGTTCTTGGCGCCAGAAATGTACGGGTCTAATACCAACACAAGCTCCTCAAGAACATCCAAGTTGTCCAGCACCGTTTTCAGAGGTGCATCATGGACCTCAGGTGCTGTGAAAATATTTATGGAAAATCACCAGTTTTTCACTTGGAAAATTACTGTAAAGTTGTTATATAGGGTTATGTGTAACTGTTTTTCGTATATACCCACCTAACAGGTGCGACAATCCAGTCACGTGATCGTTATTACCATCGTTGATTATGTTGTATGAGACGGACTGTTCATATCTGGCAATGCCCTTTTTGGACAGGCTTTCATGACTTGCTCCATTACAGCATTTTTTTAATTCTGGCATTTTTAAAAAACACGAGAAATTCATGTTGTTTTGTTAAAGGGGTCATATGATGCTATTTTAAAGATCATTATTTTGTGTATTTGGTGTAACAGAATATGTTGACATGCTTTAATGTTAAAAAAAAACACATTATTTTTTGCGAGCTTCAGCTTTCAAAGTAAATATCAAGTTAATAATGTTGTTAGTTTTACCATCAGTTCAAGCCCGAAAGGGCAACAGAGTCGCGTGACAGACACAGTGATGATGCAGTACACAAGCCACGGTTAAGACAGCTGACGTGCTATGATTTCTGACAGGCAGTTCACTCTCCTGTGATGTGACCCTGTTCCCCTCAAACACACACACACACACACACGACGCGTTACTCTGCGCTGCGCAAAACTCTGCATTTGAACAGTCAATAGCAAATACTTAAACTAATAACAAAACATACTTACAGTCGCTGATTCAGAAGCGCCAGATTGTCATAGCAAAGTCGGGCATCTACTTCCGGAAGGCCAAATAAAGTGCTTTTGCTTTCACACTGATACACACAGCGTCTCCCTGACATGGCTGCATCAACACTGCTGCTGTTCCTGAAACCACGCCTTCTTTCTTTGCGTCCACATTTGGGCGGCATTATGCAAATCTTCCCACATAGTGACGTAGGTATGTGGGGGCATGTTAGAACGAGCCGTTTTAGGTAGGCGTGGTTGACTCTTAACTTTTATAAAGAATATCTCTTTGGATTTGAGACTTTAGTCTTTGCAACTTTACAGATCTTCTTTATGCACCAAGAGCTTGTAACACTCAAAAGAGAAAGGAAAACTTGAAATCGCATCATATGACCCCTTTAATCTTGTGAGACTCATCTTGCTTCATTGTAGCACTCAAGACTCTGTTATGTAGCAATAAGAATTGTGTAATAATACAAAATAAATGTAAAGTCTATCACTTCTGTTCCACTAGCATTGACACACAGGGTTGCAGAAATTGAGTTTCCAGAACTCATTAATATTGCATTGGTCAAAAAAAAAGTCAGTGTCATTTGAGTCAGTGTGTTGAAATGCTCAAACAAACAGTGCAATGTTTTGATAAAGTCACAGTGGTTATGAAAGACTATTTGTGTCATCATGTTAACCTACGAATCAACCATTTCTTGATGTCATTTAGCAATGAGATGAAAGTCTTTAAAGAGCTCGTTTTAAAATGTTGGATCAGTCTCACTCGGTCATAATCTTATTTCCTGCCTCCTTTTGCTTTATGTTTGACTGACCTTCGTTGAAAGGTTTAGTCCTCCTTCTGATGAACAGGAAGAGACATGCCAGAGCGAGAGTTGATAAAATCCCAAAACATACATAGATCCCTAAAAGATGCACAAGAAAACAAACCATCACATCTGCTGTTGATCAGCATCAAAGCCAACATATTCTATCTCTCTCTTACTTGGAGTGTGCATAAAATGTACAAACAGTAGGCTAAATTTTAACATGCAACTTGGTTGGTGATATACTGTAAATATGTACAATACCATTCAAAAGTTTGGGGTCAGTAAGATTTATACTTCAATTCAGCAGGCATGCATTAAATTGATCAAAAGTAACAGTAAAGTCTTTTCCATTGTTACAAAAAAAGTATTTTTAATAAATGCGGTTCCTTTAAAGAATCCTAAAAATGTATCAGGTTTTCCACAAAATTATTAATCAGTTTTCACCATTTATTATAATATGAAATTGTAATATGATTTCTGAAGGATCATTGCCATCATGGAAAATAAATTGCATTTCAAAATATATTCAAATACAACACTAGATTTAAATTGTAGTAATGTTTTCACAATATTACTGTTTGAACTGTACTTTTGTTCCAGCATAAGATACTTTTTTTTTTTCAAAAACGGACAAACAATTCACAGACTTCAAACTTTTGAATAGTATATGGTAAACCGATGTAGAGATAAAGATTAAGGATAATGAAATTCAAAACAATACCTATGAAATGTGAATGAGACCCTTCATATGAACTTGGAGAGGGGTTTGGCATAAAGCTGTGAGGGCTTGGAATGGAGTTGTGAGGTCTTGGAGAGGGGCCTGGAAAGTTTTGAGTGCTAGGAGAGGGGTCTGGAAAGTTTTGAGGGCTCGGAGAGGGGCTTGAGCTAGCAACAGAGCTGTGGACAGTCGTACTCGCAGTCTAAAAAAAAAGAGTGCACTGTTAACTAGGCCTGTCGAGCTTTCTTTAGCACTAAAATGCATTTTTGGAAAGTTTAAGCTAATATCTGTCTGCCTTAGATGAGAAAGCATTAAAGAGAGAGCTGACTCCAAGAAACGCTTGAAAAGTTAAAACAATCGTTATTACTGTTATCCTTGTGGTCTGTGACGGTTGAGGGATACATTTTCCATTAAAAAACTGCTCTCTGCAAAAAAAAAAAAAAAATATATATATATATCAAGTAACATTTCCAATAATATCCATACATGGGAATAAAAGAGACAAACAAGATTTAAAGCTCACTTTTTTTATATAAAGGGAATGTCGTAATGGGCTGTTTAATCAAATTGAATAAATTTAAATTATAAATTTAAAGTTAGACGTACCCTTGTTTACAGCAGATGGTATCCGACGTGTTTTTGCACTTGCACGCAGTAAACTGTGGCGGTGGGCAAGAGCGACAGTTTTGGCATATGACTTGAGATCCATCGTTAAATGTCCCATCTCTGCATGGTCTGTAAGGTGACTCGATCTGCTGTTGCTCGTCGGACCACCCGCAGTTTTCAGTAAATTCGTATCCTGCCCTCAGAACAGAACAATGATTTGTAAACGTGCATTTTGCTTTATCAGTAGGCTATGCTGTTTGGTTGCAGACAACGTTCTTCACTTGAGGAATAAAACACAGTGGCGATCAGTTTTGTCAATTTTTTTTGTACGAAATGACACATTGCGACATGAAAATTACATTTAGAGTTAGTTTAGGTTAATTGTGACTGTTTTCCCAGTCATTTCAATGCCAAAAAGTGTCCCAATTTATTTGAATTCGCCCTGTAATTCGCATTCAAATTACAAGTAGCCTATATGGATTACGAGGTGATTTATCGAACACAGAATTTAAAACTTACCTTTTATGATTTCATATTTAGTCTCACATCGCTGACATTTGTACAGAGAACGATGAAAGAAGTCCCCTTCTATACACCTCTCTGAAGTCATTGAGGCGGATTTCGTGTAGTCCTTAACGTGGCTGCACTGAGATAACGTATGAGAGACTGTGTGAACCTAACCAGCTGTGAGCTGAAGGGAAGGAGTTGGGTGGGTTGTAAATTTAGCAGTGACTACATAGGTCATAATTAAAACCTTTATGCATACATTTCAGACACAGTGGTTACTCTGAGAAAACATTACTCACAGAGAATGTCTAAACAATTACAACAGTTAGGCGTTATTTAAATTAAATAGTTAATTAATTAAAAGTTAATTAAAAACAGCGATTATTATATTAAAGTATAACAACTATATATTTCTCTTAACACATCAACATCAAGTTAATGCTTTTGATTTTACGTTCATGTTTTGATCTTATTTTTCAGTCTCCCTTAAAGGGGTCATATGATGCTTTTTTAAAGATCATTATTTTGTGTATTTGGTGTAACAGAATATGTTGACATGCTTTAATGTTCAAAAAACACATTATTTTTAAAATACTGTACATTATTGTAGGTCCTCTATGCCCCGCCTCTCTCAAACTTCTACAAAGTCCCTCCTTCCGACAAGTGCAGTCTGCTTTGATTGGCCAGCTGACCCAGTGCATTGTGATTGGCCGAACACCGCAAGCACTCGTCGGGAATGTAACGCCCCTTACCATAATCGTGAGCTTCATCTTTCAAATTAAATGTAAAGACAGAGCCCGAAAGGGGAACAGTCGCGTGACAGACACAGTGATGAAGCTGGTATGTGTTTGCAGTACACAAGCCACGGTTAAGACAGCTGACTCCACTGTGATGTGACCCTGTCTCTCTCTC